CCTGCCGGCAGGACCAGGCCTTCGCGGCCCGGACGCAGATGTGTGGGGCCGGCTGGTGCTGAAAGGCGGACAGTGAGGGGCATGTTCTCACTTTCCTTCTTCTTGTCTTTTAGTTAAATGGATGCGGGGACGCATGGGCTCCCGTTTATCTATGGGTTTCATGTGAGGCGGGAACACTTCAATGGGAAGATGCATCGCCATCTTTTTACGTGGCCTGGACTTGAGCTCCCAGCTCTGGTTGGAAGATTTCTTTTCGCCCTTCAGGGATCGCATTCCTTAATATTCCAAGTCAGCGCGTGGTTGGGGTCTGCCGTGCGCCGCGCCTTCTGCTCGGGGTGTAGCAGTGAACATGAGAAGCCTGGCACGGCCCTGGCGCCGAGCAGCGAGGGTGGAGGGGAGGAGAGGAACTGCCTGAGATTGCAATACAGACCCAGCGGTTCTCAACCTTCTGGCCCTTTAAGTACAGTTCCTCATGTTGTGACCCAACCGTAAAATTATTTTCGTTGCTACTTCATAACTGTAATGTCGATACTGTTGTGAATCATAATGTAAATATCTCATATGCAAGATGGTCTTCGGCGACCCCTGTGAAAGGGTCGTTTGACCCCCAAAGGGGTCGCGACCCACAGGTTGAGAACCGCTGGACTAGACTGTTCTAGAGCTGGGACTGGGGCGGGGGTAGAGGAGTCACAGGAGATCTTTGTGTGCTCACCTGTTGAGGAATTCAGAATTTACCTTCCGGCCAAATGGGAAGCCTCTAAACTGAGTTGTCTGCAGGAAGTAACAGGGTTGTTTGTCAGAAAAGTCACTGTGCTAAGCATGGCAGAGAGCGGGGCAAGACTAGCGGCCTGAGGCCAGCGAGAGAGAAGAGGAGCTGGACCAGGGCAGTTCCTCACTGGCTCTTCTGTTAGCAAGTCCATCTCGTGCACCGATGATTGGCTCGTGTGCTGGATGAAAACGGTTTGGTGTGTCCTTCGTTGTTCCATTGTCTGCATCTTGCACGGTCCCCAAGTTAGGAATCTGGAGGATAAGGTGTCTCCTATAGAACATGATTGAGATGTGACTCGCATCTATGCCTTCATCTGCTGTTGCTTACTGGCCCAGATGTGGGATCCCACCGCCAAGATTAGTGCCTCTGGCCTGGGCTTGGCCAGCCCTACAGAGCTTGCATCTGTTGGTTAGCCAGCCCACTGCGCCTGCCTGGGGAGAGAGGAAGAGACCAGCCCTGCCACCGGATGCAAATGAGGGGTTCCCCTGCGCTGCTCACCTGAATCTAATTTGTGAGCCTGTGACCAGCCTTCGCCCCCACTCCACCCACCTCCAGGGCCTGGGCCGAGATTCCTTCCACACACACCACCCATCCAGGTCCAGGATTCAGTAGAAAGCAGCAAATTTCCCGGCTGGCTTTCTCATCTCACAGGCCGGGACTCGGATGCCATCCATACAGGCCCGGTACGCCTGCCTCCCTTCTTGGAGTTTTATGGTGAAAGTGGTCTTGACCCAGGAAAGGGGGAGGTAGTGGCTCAGTACCTGAGGGTGATTTGCCCCACTGGCCTCTTAGGTTCCATGATATCACCCTTGCACATGGCCCCCAGGAATTGCCTTATTTGTGTCACCAGCCCCCCAGATCCCAGGCCACCATGGCTGAAAGAA